TCTTAAATTTCTAAGGTACTCTTCAACCAAGATGAAAAAATTCAAAGGATTCCAACCTTCTCATTTAAAGGGGAATTTATGCGTCTTAGGGGGAGAAGTTTCTTTCCTGAAATTACAACGCATAAAGCAATATTGTTTGTCATCATCAAAAAGGGGGAGAATGTAAAATCAAGCTTCTCAAATACACTTTTGTTTTGATGAAGACAAACGATTTTGACAAGAAGGCAAATATTATTGATCAAGATAAAATCATATGTGGATAAAGTCTTTGGTTCAAGCACTTAGCAAATTTCAAGGTATAATGATAATACTTACTTTGAACTTAAGACATAGATGCTCAATGGTCAAAAGAAATATTTTATCTTGTCCAAACTTTTACTCAAGTTTTCTAAGCAAAAAATTCAATTTTTACTTGGGTGCAATCGATTTGCATATTGGTGAAATCGATTGCGTGCTTCATGTTTTCAAAGCATTAGCTATTGTTTCTAAGTGCAATCGATTTTCATGTTTGTGCAATCGATTGCTCTCAATCAATTTTTGCTACTGACTTCAAGTGCAATTGATTTACACATTTGTGCAATCGATTGCTCACTCAAAATATTTGAATTTCTAGCTGTTGAAACCCCGTGCAATCGATTTACACAAGGGTGTAATCAATTTCATGCTGAACAATTTTGAAAAACAATAGCTTTACTCATGCTTGTTCATAACACCATTTCATGGAAACCTTTCACTTAATCTTGACAATTGTTCATGATTCATTTGCAGAATTATATGTTGTTTTAAAAGGGTGCTATGAACATATAAATACTCATTTTCAAAATCATTTTAAGTACCTCTTCCAATCATATTTTTTAAATTTTCAAAAATCAAACTCAAGCTTTTGTACACTTTCATACACAAGTTTTCTGCACACTTTCACATATTGTCAACCAGAAAACTTTGAGCATTATATATCTTGAGTCATTATATACTATTGTCATTGGAAGAGAAGATCAATTCATTAATAAAATCACTCAAAGTGATCATTGCTACACAAACTCACTCAAATCAAATATTACTATATACTTGCTTATTTTTCAAGATTGTTGAAAATAAGTTTAAGTGGTTTTGTAATCTTGTTTTTCCAAGATTGTTGGATACAAGTAAAGTCACTTTGAGATGATTGTTCTCATTGTTGACATATTGAAAATCCAAGAGGATTGTTCTTGGTCTAAGAGGATTGTTCTTGGTTTTGGGTTGTTCTTGTTTAAGTTTTCCACAATAAGGAAATCTCTTTCATGTTGAAAGGGGACTGGAGTACTCTCGGACTGTGAGGGGAACCAGGATATATCGCTTATGTCTCTTTATTTTTCTACACTTTACTCTTTCATAAACTCACCATAAACCAGAAAAATAATATCCATCATCACTAAAACCAGAAAAATTTTAAAGTACCTAATTCACCCCCCCTCTCTTAGGCGCACTTCGTACTTACATAATTTACACGACTGAAGATTAGAGAAGTCAAGGTTTTCGGAGAACGGAGAAATTTTCATGCGCGGAAGCAATTGAAGATCCAAGTTCATCCCAATCCTTATAATGTCTATATTTTGTCATGTGATTATTTTGAACAATATGAGTAGCTAAATCCCCCAATGCTATGGGGTGTCTCTGATTTGACTATGTAAAGATTATGAATTCCCGAGTTCTTTAATAAAGTTTTCTTTATTTGATTTAATTGTACAATGTTTTTATGCCTTCCTGATCGGACAAATTAGGATTGATTTATGGTTAACAATCAGCTAGACCACAGTTGTTAAGGTTTTTATATAATTAGGCTATAGTAGATATCACCTAGGACTATGGATACCCTATAATTACCAGATTTAACCCTTGATAAAATAAAGGCTTGACTCCATCAGATGTCTCTAAGGACTTAGGATTTAGGATGGATGGTTAAAGGTTTTCCCACTAAGGACTTAGGGGAAGATAATCTAAATGGCTGGTAATTGAAGGATATGAAATTGTTGAAGAGATCAGGATTCAAGGTTGTTACAGAGAAAATTATACACCATACCCTAGCATACTCTTCATATCTATGAAAAAGCCCTAATTTACATTTTGCTTATTTTTATTTTTGTTAAGCGACAATTCCTAAATCAAAACCCTAGTTAAATTTTTTGTTTAATTGAACCTGAATTGAACTCGATAATTGCATGCAGTCCTTGAGATTGACATTCGGGGAATTTCCCATTATTACTGCAAGGCAAAAATAGTACACTTGCTATTTTTTCCATCAGTGGTCAACATTGATTTGGGGCTTAGGATGAACACAATTTATCTTGTGAATGGCTGAGGTCGAATTTCTAAAAGTCATATATTGATACTCGAAATTAGTAAGAGCAATATATAAGTGTTTGAAACTTTCCAAAGCTTATTCTAATGAAACCAAACCCTAACAACACCCAACAAATTCACAAGAAGAGTGGAATTTGGTGACAAAAATGGGAAGACATAGGGGAATCCCAAAGTACACACCCAAGTATTGGAAGGCTCAAATGTAAGCCCAATAGGCTGGGTGAAGGCCCTAAAAATGAATGTCATCCTTCACTCAAAGCCTTGAAGTGAAAGTCGAAGTCCCATATCCCGAATACAATATTGTGATAAAAAATGAGCAATGGAAGTAGTGGTTACAGGTGCTAGAACATCCATGACCCATTCTAAGAATGACTACTTGTGAAGTCACGCCTCCACCTGTAGAAATGACACCTCCACTTAGAAAGAGAAGTCACTTCGTGTACAAATAAAGAAACATTCACGAAGTAGTAAACCAAGATAAAGACACAAAGAAACATCCATGAAGCAATACCAAAAATACAACTTTCTATACAGTAATCATCACACCTCAACTTGTGTAGAAGCCATTAAATGTGTGCTTCAACCTAGGACTACCAATCCCATGGCCAAACATTACATGCGAAAAAGGGAATATTAAGGGTTAAGGGTAGGTTACATCATATCCTATCAGAAAATAAGTGAATGCAAACCCAATAATCCAAGATATATCAACCCTATTTGAAGAATCAAGGACATCGACCTCATTAATCCCTTAAAAAAATACTTTGATTTTCTCAAACAATAATATCCATGGTCGTCAAGCCGAGAAACAATAGTTATTGTATCCTCAAGAAAATGTATCCAACTATCCTAAACGACTCAAAAACCATGACACCCCCACGAAGGCTCGCCAAAGAGTTCATACAATTTGGAAGACTATCACTTCTCGAGGAAAACACCAATATGTTTGTGATCTCTTCCATGTAGGCGATATTAAGTTGGTGATAAAAAAACCCTTACTAAAGCTACCTAGATAGGATCTCGCAAAAGATCATAGTTGCACTCGTTACCCTGGAGAGACGACTCAACTATAAGACCATTAGAACATACCAAAATCCAACTTTAGTGGCTACTACTTTGGGAGTTATTGCTCCCGTATGGGCCAAGGCCTAAACCATTCAATATCACAACACCAAGTGGGGATTCAGATAACTCAATATCCATCCATTTACCTAGGCCCATTAAATACATTCAATGGTCCTCTAAGACAGTTGAAGTCATCCATACTAGGAGAACGACTTGGAACTTTGGGATCTTTAAGTGGCCACGCATTAGAATCATACTAGATTAAGGTCGATCAAACACCTAAGTAATGTCATTTATGATAGATAACTAGATCTATTAACGGTACCTCACCAAGTGAGTTGTCTCTAAAGAAAACTATAATATTTCAGAACTTTGAGATGGTCCTGCCCTAATAGTACACATAATATGAGATGATTGGGCCCCACGACCTAAAAATCCCCCACTATAAGAAGGGGCCGCAAACTAGATTTTGGTATACACTATTTTAAATCTTAAACCTCACACTTAGGATCATCACTTACTTGATCATTAATGCGTTTACAGGGATATCCATCATCTCCACCAACGACACATGAAAAGAAAATATGGATCAACAATATTATGGGATGTGTGTGTGATCTAGTGGTGAAGACTTGGGTCTTGAGAGTATGATCCTCTCAGGGTCTCATGTTCAAATTCTGCTAGATGTAAATTACTTATAAAAAAACATTATAGGATCAGAAATATGTATGAGCATTAAAAGAAACTATATAATTGTTTAAAAAACACGTAAATAAAACTACAATCATATATAAAAATAGGATGAATTTTTATCTACCCAACTCTAAAAATTGGATAAGGTTATCTCTAATATAAAATGTCTTGAAAACAACAACTAATTATATTGTTTAATAAATAATTAAGCATGTTAGAACTAAATAGAATCATGTGATTGATCAAATATACACTATCTAACTTTTTGTGATGGATAGAGAAGTAATTCCATAAAAATAGAGCTATACTATGCTATGATGACACTCTTTTGCTACACCATATGCCATCTACACCCTATATATGCATTTGCTTCAGTCTTGCACAAATTTCAAAATGAGATAAAAAAATGAATAAAAAAATTATGAGTATGTTTATTATGGTACAATGTACGGTGTAAGTGTATCAATTGATGTAAGTGTATCATTTCTCATAAAAATATCAACATATTTACAACAGGTGAACTATTGCCAAAACTCTATACATCTCACTTATGGTGAATTCTTATCTATCTAATTCTAAAAGTTAAATAAGATTATCCACAATGTAAAATGTCTTGAAAACAACAACTAATTGTACTATTATTTAATAAATAACTAAGCATGTTAAAACTAAATAAAATCATGTAATTGATTGAAAGTACACTATCCAACTTTTTATGTTGGGTAGAGAAATTGTTCCCTTGACTTATACCTACCAAAAACATTCTCAAAGATAGCAGAGAAACATGGGATTTTTTTCCTAACCTATGGTATTGTTGCGTTAAGAATTATTAGTATATGTATCAATATGTTCCCACATTATGAAACATGGAAATAATGAAATTCCTACTTAGTCTTAGGATTTCATGGAGTGACAGTTTTATCTGTTGATTCATGTGTGTCTCCCACTTTTCTAGCTCTGCCATAAGCAACCTTTGCTTTATCTTTAGCAGCATCAGCTGTATCGCCAACTGCATCTGCAGCATTGTTAGCATGTTTCTTGGTTTCACCATATGCGCCCTTTGCTTTATCTTTAGCAGCATCAGTAGTATCGCTAACTGCATCTGCAGCATTGTTAGCATGTTTCTTGGTTTCACCATATGCGCCCTTTGCTTTATCTTTAGCAGCATCAGCTGTATCGCCAACTGCATCTGCAGCATTGTTAGCATGTTTCTTGGTTTCACCATATGCGCCCTTTGCTTTATCTTTAGCAGCATCAGTTGTATCGCCAACTGCATCTGCAGCATTGTTAGCATGTTTCTTGGTTTCACCATATGCGCCCTTTGCTTTATCTTTAGCAGCATCAGCTGTATCGCCAACTGCATCTGCAACATTCTTAGCATGTTTCTTGGTTTCACCATATGCGCCCTTTGCTTTATCTTTAGCAGCATCAACTGTATCGCCAACTGCATCTGCAGCATTCTTAGCATGTTTCTTGGTTTCACCATATGCGCCCTTTGCTTTATCTTTAGCAGCATCAGTTGTATGTCCAACTGCATCTGAAGCCTTGCCCACGTGTTTCTTTGTATCGCCATATACATCCTTTGTTTTATCTTTAGCAGCATCGGCTGTATCACCAACTTTATCAGAAGCCTTGTCTACATGTTTCTTTGTATCGCCATATACATCCTTTGCTTTATCTTTAGCAGCATCGACTGTATCACCAACTTTATCAGAAGCCTTGCCTACATGTTTCTTTGTATCGCCATATACATCCTTTGTTTTATCTTTAGCAGCATCGGCTGTATCACCAACTTTATCAGAAGCCTTGCCTACATGTTTCTTTGTATCGCCATATACATCCTTTGCTTTATCTTTAGCAGCATCGGCTGTATCACCAACTTTATCAGAAGCCTTGCCTACATGTTTCTTTGTATCGCCATATACATCCTTTGCTTTATCTTTAGCAGCATCGGCTGTATCACCAACTTTATCAGAAGCCTTGCCTACATGTTTCTTTGTATCGCCATATACATCCTTTGCTTTATCTTTAGCAGCATCGGCTGTATCACCAACTTTATCAGAAGCCTTGCCTACATGTTTCTTTGTATCGCCATATACATCCTTTGTTTTATCTTTAGCAGCATCGACTGTATCACCAACTTTATCAGAAGCTTTGCCTACATGTTTCTTTGTATCGCCATATACATCCTTTGCTTTATCTTTACCAGCATTGGCTGTATCACCAACTTTATCAGAAGCCTTGCCTACATGTTTCTTTGTATCGTTATATGCATCCTTTGCTTTATCTTTAACGGCATCAGCTGTATCACCAACTTTATCTGAAGCCTTGCCTGCATGTTTCTTGGCTTCACCATGCGCACCCACTGTTTTATTTTTAGCAGCATCAGCTGTATCTCCAACTGCATCTGAAGCCTTGCCTGCATGTTTCTTGGCATCACCATATACATCTTTCGCTTTATGTTTAGTAGCATTAGCTGCATCTCCAGCTGCATCTCCAACCTTGTTTGATTGTTTTTGGGTTTCATTATATGCAATTTTAGCTTTATCTTTACTGTAGTCAACCGCTCCTTTTGCTCCCTCTTTAACATCAGAAGCTGCTTTTTCAGCAAACTTAGAAGTATCTATATGCAAATCAATAAACATTATACTTTAATTGTAATCTATATATACACCATTCGGTAGCCCTAACGCAACATCAGTTTAAAGCCATGACAACAATTTTGCAGTAAATCTGGTTAAGGAATGCAAATGAACAATTATATACCTGATCCAGCATCTTTCACTGAATCTGATGCATCTGAGGAAACATCTGAAAATGAAAACTTTTCATTTTTATGTATTTTGTCAGCACTCTCTTCTGTCGCGAATTGTCTGTGAGAGAAGTTGCATATTAGTCATGAATGAGAAAAGATATCATTTGAGGTTTGGCAAAATTTAATGAGAATAGTAATAATGAATTACTCAGAAATTTTATCATAAGCCCAATGACCAAAAGACTCAGATTTTTCTGCGGCTACAGTGGCAGCAGTTACGGCACCATCCTTGATATCTCCAGCTGTGGCCTTGGCATCTTCATACACATCTGATCGACACATCCTTACACATACGGCAACACATAGCACCAACAATATGTTTTTTGCATTCTGTGTCCTCATTTTTATCTCTGCTAGTTATCTTTTTGTGTTTTGTTTGATAGAAAATGATTTCAATTAAGGCTCTATATATATGTGTGGCAGAAGATAGAAAAAGAAAAAGGAAGGAAGGAAGGCGTTGCGTTGCAAGCGGTTTGCAACCAATTTTGAATGTTGTAACGGGTTTTGCTCATATATATATATATATATATATATATATATATATATATATATATATATATATATATATATATATATATATATATATATATATATATATATATATATATATATATAAAGACATCAATCATGAGTATGACCCACCAAATAACCATTAAATTATAATTGAGAAAATAATATTGACATCTTAATTTAATTTGTCTGTAGTTTTTCTGTTGTCTTTCCATTCAATTGAATAATTACCATCAATTCATATACATTTAAAGCTATTTATACACACATATTTATAATCATATTTTCCTCTTTCTATTTTACTATTAAAGAATTTATGTATTCGCATAGTAAAATCGATATAAATATTAAATAAATATTATATATTTATAGTTAGGAAAGGTATATAAAATTATAATATGAATAAAGAGAGGAAAAAAACTTTTTATTATGATTGTTACATAAGTAATATATATTTTAATTGAAAAAATAAAGGAAATAATTAAGTAATTATCTACTCGTCGTTCACATGGACCACACAATATTGTTATAAATAATAAACAAATAAAGTATACCGATAGTTAAAATATATATATAATTTAAAAAGAATATCAAAATTGTGTATTTATAAAAACAAATATTTGTATATTTTTTAGTATAAATGTTAACTTTTTATCATTAAAAAAGTTAATATTTTTTTAAGTTAATTTTTTTTAAAATATTTTTTATTTATATAAAATTAAACTTAAAAGTTAAATATTTTTTTTATTTTATCTTTTAAATATTTGTTATTTTTATAAAAGTATAATAGTATATTTGATATAATTTAATAATTGCTATTGAATTAAATATATGGGTGAAAAAACAGGTTCGACCCGTCGAACATGTCTATAACTTTTATAATTGCTTATAATAATTTTACAATTTCTATTAATAAACATTATAAAATAAAATATATTATACACCAAAATATATATTGGTTTAATAAAAAATTTAAATTATAAATAATTTGATTAGACGCAATGAGTTAAATAATATTATGTTTCTTAAATTTGTGTAATAACTTAGAAGTTATATGCTATAGTAATTCAAAAGTCATTAAACATATGATCTCTAATATTTGTTTAATTTAAGTAAATATTTTATCATAAAATAATAATTTAAAATTTAAGCATATGATCTCTAATATTTTTCAAGTCAATTTATTTTTTCTTTAAAAATATTTGTTATTATATAAAATTAAATTTAAAAATAAAATATTTATTATATTATTATTTTCAATTATTATTTTAAAAAATATTTATATAATTTGATAATTGCTATTAAACTAAATATATGAATGTAAAAATAACTTCGACCATCAAGTGTGCCTATAATTTTCAATTATCAAAGTGTTTCGTGAGTGTATTTAAATCCTTAAAGAAAGATACTAAATAACAAATCTAATAAAATTTTGTCCAAATAACAAATTTTGAAATATCTTAGAATATTTAATGAAAAAATAAAATGTGGAGTTGGTTTATGTGTTATAGTAGATAAGGATTATTTCACTACAAGAAAAATGTTATTTTACGACACATGGATTGCGACAGTTACTTATATCCGTCGTAACTCTAATATAGAGACGCGTGTCACGACAGTATACACCGACCACCCTAAAAATTATTTCACGACGGTTTAAAAACCGCCATAAATTATATGTCACGATCGTACATTAACCGCTGCATGAAAAAAATCTAATTACTTGAAAAAAATTACTTAAAAATCATCAAAGACCACGACACTGACTTACCGTCGTGCCCAATTACTTATAAATTAATAAACTTCACGACAGTGAACATACAGTCGTCTACAATTATAAAACATTTATCAAAGCCACGACAGTGACCTACCGACACCACCCCAGACCATTCAGACGCGGATAAAAGTTCGCGACGGTGATTTCACCCATCGTCATCCATTAACTCATCTTTCGCGCTGCTTTTTATGTTTTGTCTTCACTCCTTTTTTCATAATCACTACCAAACAGAATTCACGCACGCAAATGAGTTAGGGTTTTGTATCATCGTCAAATAATTTCTCTCAACCACGCAAATGGGTTTAGGGTTTTGTATCGTCGTCAAATAATTTCTCTCAGCCACACACGCCGTCACTGTAAATCACCGTCAAAGTAACCACCATCAATTTGAATCTTAACAGGTTTGTCTTCTCAAACCCTAAATCCCTTTTCAAGCCCTAAATTTTTTCTGCAAATATATGTGATGAATGAATTCTACTCTTCAAAAATCTCAATGTTTCTTTTCTTAGATATATTGAAGACATAAAAATGTATTTGCTGATTTATAAGTTTTGAGTTTATAAGTGAAAATGTATTCAATTTGTGATTTATAAGTTCTGAGTTTCAGTTATGAGTTTTGAGTTTTAGTTTATAAGTTCGGAGTCTGAGATTGAGTTTAATTTATAAGTTCTAAGTTATGAGTTTGAATTAATGGAGGAGCCACAATACACCTTGAATTAATGGAAAACCCTAAATGGCATTACACGCACAAACTTCTTCACCTACAGGGAATAATACAAGAACAAAATAGAAGTCCAGATATAAAAGGCTTAGGATTAGTGGGCTTTAATTTTCTATACTTTACGACTTGAGAACCCGTTGTGGTTGGTGTAGATTTTTGTTTTAAAATACATCACCAAACAGTGACCACAGTACACAATTATTTGATTAAATTTACAGCCTGGCTCATGAGTGCTTGAAGAATGCACAAAATAATAGGTACATAGTTATAGTGGAAATGCTGCTGAACTGAATATGTTGTCTTTGGAAATATAAAATATTTTTCTGCAAACATGTGTATTTTCATTTCATATTGTATATTCTGGAAATGATGCACTATGAAGCAAGTACTTCCTCCTAAGCCATTATTTGAAGTGACTTTGAAGTGAGATAGGTGAGTTGTAAGGAATGAAGGAAAGGTTTGTGTCTGTCATTCCCCTACAATCATTTTTTTAGATTAATCAAAGCTATAAAATTAGTAGTAGAGTATTAAAGATAATTTTATTTTCAAAATTATATAGTATGGTTATAATAATAAGAATTTAAGCCACAATTTTGAACAAAGTTAATATACATTAGTGTTAGTGAATTCACATGAATAATTGAATGCATAGAATTTTGTGTAGGAGAGTCGTGTAGCTTGAGGTAAATCAGTATGTACAGGTTATGACAAGCCCAATGCCTTATATTATTATCATATAAATGTAGCAGTCACATTAACACCCTTTGCTAACTTCAAACTGAAATACTGAGGATTATGTTTATTGAAAAACTGGAGTTTGAATACATTAGAATAAGACTACAACATATTGGAACAATTTTGTTGTTATATTCATGTACAGGAAATACAAAAGAAGTTAATACTAGATAGGTATATAACTTGTAACCATGTAAAAGAGCAGCCATGAAATGAGATAGTTATATAACTTGTAAGCAATTGCTTCTAATTTTCTAAATGAGATGAATGATTCAAAAAAGACACTACTAGATTTTATAAATTCTGAACATGACAAGACATATGTGATTTCATAATTGATTAGGTTAGCAGACAAAGCGTCGATGTCGATGCTTAATTTTTAGCAATAATCTCTCATATGTGTGAACTTACAGTTTGGTGTAGTTGTGTTGTTCTATGTGATTTCTCGTCCCAGCTGCTATTACTGTCTTGATCATTATGAGTGTTCTATCAAGGTGTCTATAGGTTTCAACTTGCTGGTGCAATTGACAGTAGTATCTAATTCAGATTGCAGTACCTTGTTTTGATGGTATTGGCATTGTGAAATAATGATTTAATATATTGCTTTTAGGTGTTACAATAAAATACTCATAAGTCATGGTTTAACCGATTCAACATATTGAATTATGAGAGTAATGAGTCTTAAAGGGGAGCTGTCATAAGGGACCATTTCAAAATACTCATTTGGTTTCTTTTATATTTTAATGCCTTAAACTATGTTTCTTTTAGATCTTGAAAATATTCTGTAATATTTCAATTGGCCATTGGTCATTTTTCACGAGGCTCTATTATGCCCTTCCATTTATAGCTTCTAATGAGATGATAATATGATTATTCTGCACTTGACTAGGCCATCATTTTTCACGCCGCCGTCAAAGCAACCACCACCATCACAAATCTTAGCAGATTTGTCTCTTCTATTTGTGATATACATGAAATGTTGCTTTTGATTGTTATTAGGGTGGAATTTTTTTTTTTTAAACCTGCTTAAATGCATATTTGCTTCTTTTATTCTTTCATTCAATTATGGTAAAATTTAATTATGGAAAATTTTGAAATGAAAAATAATGGTGAATCTTAAGATGTAAAATTTAATTAGGTATAATAGGAATTTAGATAATAAATAGTTATAATTTGATTTAATATAATAATTTGGTATAACCAAATTTTAGTATAATAAGAAGATAAATAATATAATTGTAGCCATAAGAAGAATAGAAGGCTTGACATTGGTAGGTTTAAGATGTATAGGCGCAGACGAAAACGACAACTTTTCTCTGAACAATTTTGGAATAATTTGGAACAATTTTGTTGCTATACTCATGTACAGGAAATACAAATGAAATTAATACTCTTAAAGTATTCTAATATTTTGAATTGCTATTGTAACCATGTAAAAGAGAAGCCTTGAAATGAGATAGGCATATAACTTTTAAGCAACTGCTTCTAATTTTCTAAATGAGATGCATGATTCCAAAAAGACACTAATAGATTTTATAAGTTCTGAACATGACAAGACATAATTTCTAAACAAACTTAATATGGATGCAACTTAAAAAGCTTGTTATACTTCATAATCTAAATCCAATTTAAAACAAATTATTCAAGAATGAAAAGTACTAAATTACAAGAAAAAAACTGATTAGAAGTGATGTTTGTTAGTTATGATATATTGCCGCCACCTTTTTGATACCAGAAAATTTATTGCCGCTACTTGCTGAGAATTGTCTATGTGTACTTCATCTTTTAAATCTCGTGTCATGTGTGTGAAAACAAATTAGACAACCAATACTAAAACTCCATCTCTTTTATTTTTCTATTGCTTATATTCAAAGTAACATATTTTCATAAGTACTAGAGTTCTTATATAATATAATATCTATATTTTTATTTTTTGAAGAAATGGATAAGTCATGGATTACTAAGCCACTATCATCGATTACGTATCAACAAGGGATAAAAGAATTTATTGATTTTGCATTTAAAGGTGCAAAAGAAAATGATGTAGTAATATGCCCTTGCAAACGTTGCGGTTTCAGAAAATCAAAGAGTATGAGTGACATGTTCGACCACTTAAGTTGGTCACCATTTTTCCGCAGGGATACACCATGTGGATCCATCATGGAGAGTATTTTGTACGACCTAGTACTATCTCCCATAGTACTGTTCCAAATATGGTTGAAGATACTATTATTGTCGAAGATCCTATTCAGAACATGATCAACGATGCATTTGGAGTTGATAGGAATCATGCAAATGAAATATCATATCCGTCAAATTTGGAGATTGACCAAGAAGATTATGTGATGCCAAGTGCAACTCAGGAAATAAACGAAGCCAAAGAGTACTATGAATTGGCTAGAGAAGGAGAACAACCTTTATATGAAGGGTGTAGACGATATTCAAGACTATATTTTTTGGTTAAGTTATACCTGTGATACGGTGGGAGAACTGACTTGATGTTTTGCGTTACGATCGCATTTGTGCGGATAGCAAGAGTCGCCACCGACTTTTCTTTTATCCAAAGGAAAGGTAAAAAAAGCACAGGAAAGACCTTTCGAGATTATTTTTCGGGTTCGGGGGTAGATTATGAAAAGGGAAGGTATTAGCACCCTTTTCATCCATGGTTTTCCATGGACTCTTAGTTACTCGTTTAGATCACTTGCTTTCATTTGACAGTGTGCTTATGGTGTGGGCTTTGAAAGTGTTTTGAAAAAATCTCTTTGTAATGGTTCTCGTTTTTATAAGAACGCGTACAAAATTTTGTTTCAAAAAGTGGTTCAAAGATGTGTTTGTGAATTGCATTTTGGAAAGTGTTTTGAAAAGATGTATTACAATGGTTCTCGTCTCTATAAGAACATATACAAAACGTTTTGTCTTTTGAAATGTTTTGAAATGAAAATGTAGGTGTAAAAATGTTTTTATTGCGAGCAAGTGAGTAACTAGGAGCGAATTTATCTACTCGAAAGGTCTTAAATTGTTCTTTTCTTCCTCTTTTTAATGTTGCTATCTTACCATTAATTTGTAAAGAAGCCCCATCATTGGATGTGAAGGGACAGGCGCGGGTCAATTTTACAGTCATCGAAGGCAACTTATGAGACACTTTAGCAATTTTCGTAAGGGACTAGATCATTTTACTGAAGGCAACATCGAGGGTCATCGAGGGACTACGATCTTTTTTATCGAAGGGTCTTTGCTAATACGTCCCATATTCGAGGGACATAATTGTATTTTCGAGGCAACGAGCGAGGTTACCCTAGAGGTGCGCGTGTGAAAAAGTGTATTCATTTCAAGTTTAATTTTGTCGAAATTAGGTTATCTAGCGATTGATTTTGAATCTGGCCATACACGCCTAATTACTATACAATATAAAGAAAACAATAAGTTGCGGAAATTGAAATTCTACGCTATTATAGCGTTTTCGGGAATGGGGGGTACAAATTAATGGATGGGGATGAGTCAAATGCGATCACCAAGTTCAAATAGCAAACAATACAACCAAATCAAATTTTAACAATTTAACTAGAATTATAACAGTCTATGAAATAAAAATTAATTGACAAAGTAAAAAAATTTGGTATTTTTGTTTATGAGAAAATAAATTGATTTTTAAACATTTTTTTGAATTGAAAATAATGATTAACAAAATTTAAATTAAATTAAAAAATTATTTAAAGTAAATCTAAAAACTAAATTAAAATTCTAAATAAAATTAACTTAAAACAATCTAATTAAATTAAAATAATTCTAAAATTTATTATCTAAATATAAATTAAATTAAATACAACTAAATAAAAATTATCCTAAAACAAGTTAATTAAAATAAATTACACCTAAAATGTCTTAAACCTAGGTTAATGTTAAGTATAAACTAAAGAAAATAACTAACCTAAAACAAAGCTAATTAAGATAAATTAAACCTAAAAATGTATTGACTAAACCTAAATGAATTTGAGCAATTAAAAGAAATTAAACTAAAACAAATTAATTGAAATAGATTAAACCTAAGGTTTACTAACTAAATCTAAGTTAGGTTAAATGTAAACTAAAGAAGAAAATAATTATCTCTCAGTCTTCTCTCTTCTTCCTCTCGACCTAGAACGGCGCCTTCTTCCTCGCTCTGCTCCAATGTTCTCTCTCTCTCCGAACTTGGCTCCGTCGCTCCCTCTCTCTCTCTCTCTCCAATTTTGGCTCCGTCGCTCCCTCTCTCTCCGATTTTGGCTCTGCATGTTAACGGTTTTGAAGATTGGCGGTGAAGGTTAGGATGGTGATCGAGTGAGGCGGGGGGAGATGTGAGACGCGGTTGGGTTAACGACGATGATGATGGTTTTGAGATGGTTTTCGGCTTTGTTTTGCTTTTCTGGTTTGTTACATCCTCTACTGCTCTCGTCTTCTGTTACTTTTGTGAAGTTTTCTTTTTTCTGTAGGTTTTTGGATCTTTGGTATTTATAACAGATTTTCTGGTTTGATAAGTAATGATGGCTTGAGACGGATTTGTTGATGTTGCACGTTTGTTCTACTGATTTTCTGGTTTGATGAGTTTGTTCGATTGTTATATTTGGGTCTTTGGATGTTGATGGTTTTGAAATGGTTTGTTCTGTTTCTTACTGGTTTTCTGGTTCTGTTGGTTTGTTTTGTTTCTTACTGGTTTTCTGGTTCTGTTGGTTTGTTCTGTTTCTTACTGGTTTTCTGGTTCTGTTGGTTTGTGGTGATGCTAGTTCTGAGTTTGAACAAAGGTTATGTTTACTGCAGGTTTTTTGTTCTTGTTCTGTTACTGTTTTTTTTTTGTTTTCTTCCTTAACTGACTACTTAACAAAAACAGTAAATATGCAGATGAAAAAAAATTCAAGATAAATGCAGAGAAGGGATAGGGATTTTACCTTAATGCTGGCTTTTGCTTGACAGGGAAGTTGAATTCTATTATTTTTCTGTATATTCTTCTTTTTTGAAGGGTGGTATTGGAGAAAATGATGATAATATCTTTGGAATTTTTGGTATGCTTTTGTTATGCTGTTGTATGCTGCTGGTTTTTTTGAACAATGAATATGTTTCTCCTCTTCCTTTGCTGTGCCGAATGGCCCTGTTATATGCTGGAAAAAAATGGGGGAAAAGTCATTGGGTTTGAACAATTGTGTTATGTTGTTTTTGTTTCTTGTTGTTGCAGTTTTTACTTAGCCTATATTTGTGTAATTTTGGGCTGTATGTTTGCAGCTACTTGGATAGATTTTGGCCTTTTGTGGACAGCATATGGAGGGCTGCAATGCAGTCCATTTTTGACGGCATTTTAGCTTTTTGTGATTGTGCTTTTTTTTCCATTGTGATGTAAACTAATTTTGCAGCATTTGAAACCATGATAAAACTATTGATTTTGACTTGCATTCCTCCTTATTTTCTCCTCTGTGAACCAATTGAAAATTGCGATTTGCAATGGACCAAACACGGACGAAACGTTGCCCCCTTATTTCTGATTCTTTTTACCAATCCCTAATGATGAAAATTTATAGATTTCTTTGAAATTTTCCAATCTTATTCCACCATGAATTTCGCTAACTAATGCTCTCTTTTTTTGTTTACATGTACGGGCACATTGGATTGATGACCAGTGGCTTGAAGCACTTGAAGAAAGCTTGATGATGAAGAAAACTCTTTTGTAGTTTTAGTGCATTGTTAAGAATTTGTAACATATTTTTTTTTGTAATTGCAAGCTTGTAAAAAAACTTTAGCAATTGTACATTCTTTGATTTTGAACAACACTTTGGATGATAGATTGAATGTAAGCCTTGTACCAAAAGGAAATTGAATGATAATAGTGAGGACTTAGGTATTCAAAAGTCACTTTGTAGTCTTGTAAGCTTCTCATGAAATTTGAATGAAGAATGATGAGTTGATTTTTGAATATAGCCTTGAAAAGTTGAATTTGGAATAAGATTTGGACTTGAAATTGAGAATGGAAACTTGGAATAAACCTTGTCTTGTAATATGTAGAATCGACGTGAACTTGATTCACATGTAGAACTTTTGAAACTTGAATGGATAATGAGACTTTGAATGAAGTTCATGAACAAATTGATTATGTCTTGCAAACTTGAATCATTTGAAATTTGACTTTGAATCCATGGATTTAGCACATTGAATTTGATCGTTGAAGTAATCTCATAGACAATGCCATTTGTGATAAAAAGAGTCACTTCATGATATTGAAAATTGAAGAAGTTGTGAGCCTCGAAAACTGGACAAGAGTTTCTTGTGACTAGGTCAAATTTGAAAAATGACCTTTAAAGCATTCGAAATTTCTGATGATCTTTCGCACATAATCAAATCTTGACTTGTGAAGAGAAAATATAGATGACGTCAAGGAGAATCATACGCAAAAGAAACGCCCAAAAATATCGAATAACGAAAGAAGTTACAGTCACTTGAACTTGATGTCGCAAAAGGTCATCTTTTGGGTTACTGGAGTCATTTTCAGTCGTCTGAACCACTGACTGAGCAAACTCATGATGTGAGACTTGGAACTTGGCACAAACATCTCCGATAACATATGAAGGATCATAAAGACCGTTTGAAACTTTGAAAACTCATTCTCTTTTGAGAAATGCAAAAACCTTAATTGCTGCTTTTACTATCTTGGAAGAGAATCTGTCTTGATCGATTTTTGAACCAACTTGAATATCTGAGAAACCCTAGGATTGTATCTTGTATGAAAAATAGGAGGGCAAATTTTGGGGTACAACAGCTACCCCTGTTCAATCTTCTTAAACTTGAAAAGCGAGATCGGCGCGTTCTTCGTTCGTGGCTTGAAAGTAGAAGGTGATTGAACACTAGAGTGCCCAGAAATTTGCACTTGATGACGCGCTAGTTGACTGTGTACGGGAATGGGCTTAAAGATTCCATTTGGAGAAACAAAGGAGAATTGTCGGAGATGGGCTTATAGATGACATCCAAAGGTGAATGTTGACGGAAAGTTTGAACTTGATCTTAACAGAGAATGAATCAGAATAAACCGTTGAGAGATTTATCTGAACCAGTAAAAATCTGGAAACGAATCAGAATAAACCGTTGAGAGATTTATATGAACCAGTGAGAATAATCTGGAGACGAATCAGAACAAACCGTTGAGAGATTTATCTGAAACAATGAAATAATCTGGAGACGAATCAGAATAAACCGTTGAGAGATTTATATGAACCAGTGAAATAATATGGAGACGAATCAGAATAAACCGTTGAGAGATTTATCTGAACCAGTGAAAATCTGGAGACGAATCAAAATAAATTGTTGAGAGATTTATCTGAACCAGTGAAAATCTGGAGACGAATCAGAATAAATTGTTGAGAGATTTATCTGAAACAATGAAATAATCTGGAGACGAATCAGAATAAACCGTTGAGATATTTATCTGAACCAGTGAAATAATCTGGAGACGAATCAGAATAAA